CATTTTCTGGTTTTGTTTTTTGAACTGAAGTATGCTTTCCTCAACCACTTAACACAAGACATCTTGTATGTCTTGTTTCTTTGATTTTTTTTTTAGCTCCTCAACTTCTCTGTTTATAAGAACAATAGTTTCTGAAACTGTGTCCCATTCTTTCCGACCGATGACGCCATGACTCAGCACTGTTTGGTTTAGTGGGAGGTTTCATGACTTCAGGGTCTCTTAAATACTTGTGGAGTGAAGCTATGGGGCGCTGACCCCCGGCTTGACACGACAGATGACATAGCCTCCATCTGACTTGGAGTTTGCCTGTTAATTAAGCCTGTAAACAGGTGGGTGACAGAGGCTTTGTAGCTGGCTTTGTGCTTGACAATCAAACTTCCTCTTAAGGATGTTTACCTCTTTATGTCTTGCCTTGAAGGATGGAAATGTTCCTTTGACCGAGCACACAAACACAGGTCCAAACGCAGACACACAATCACACGCGATGTGCGGAATACCCATTCAGCTGCTTGTTTTATAACATCAAGTGTTCTTTCTCTCTTTAGTTGCTTCCACGGCAGAATTTCATAAACAACATTTTTAACTTGGCATGAATAATATGCCTGATGAAAATGTGGCTTTTTGTTAAACTACTAGGAAGATGTGGTATATTCTGCCAGTTACAGAAAACATGAAGCATAGCCTTTTTTGCAAAAACTGCTAAGTATAAGGCTAACGCCTTATCTGCCGTGCTGAAGAAATCTCCCCAAAAATTCCTGGATTATCCGGATGACTTCAAAATTGAATGACTTCTTCCTTTGATTGTGTCCAAACCCTCATCAAAGTGTCAGTGCTATAATTTTGACACAAGCCTGCTAACAAAACAAAAAAAATGCCAATGAAAACAATAGAATGGTGCTCAGAAAAGTGCATATACCTCCACTAAGGCCCAACTCAAGTCAAACAAATTTCACACACATCAGCCCCTTAAGTACTTGATTTACTTTTTATTTTTATCAAGATCCATGAATATATTTTGAGCATGTTCACTGCAGCGGAAAGATGGTGCTTCATTTAATTTTGAGCTTTATGCTAATATATAATACATGCACACGTAATTAGATACAGGGAGTCAAATCTAAAAGAAAAAGTGAAAACGATCGGCCCTCAATTCCAATGTCAGGACAGGTTGTGATCACTGCATCAGTTAAAAATTAGATGTGTGAAGACTGAGATGATTTTTCCTATTTTATAATATCTGTCACACTCGGAGCAAATCAAGTAGAAATGTTAAAAATTTAAAAAACTAAAACATGCATATATTTTTAATAGAAGTAAATATTTCCTTGAATACTTGAAATGTGTGGAACTATAATGGGCCTGGAGAACAGGAAAGAAGTGGAGTGTGGGGGCTCCTAGCAGCTGCTGTTATATTACAATATGCACATAGTTAGATAGCTGAGGAGTCGCAATATCTGGCGTCCTCTGTCGGAATAAAGTGGCATCACAGTTTAGTCCTTCAACTGGAATTAGGTCAAACATTGTCCACGAGGGAGAATTCCATCTAACCCAGGAGCACCGTTTTCACTGTATGCCTCCAGTTGTTGTCTTAGCCCGGTCTCAGACAGAGAGTGTGTTAAGATCGGATGCCTTGTACTGTTGTCTTTAAGCTTACAGCTGGAAAGTTGACTGGCTTCACTCTGGGGGTCTGAGGGAGAACTGATGCCAAAAATAACAGACAAAAAGAATGAGAAACAACAGCAGAGAGCTCGAGGAATGCTCCAGGAGAGAAATTAATAGAGGAACAGAGACAGAGAGCTTGCATGTGAGAGCTTCCCAGCAGTCGTCCTCAGGGGGATGAGAACAGAGCCTGTGTTGTGTTGGCAGCCACAGGGGGCCGACAAAACACCTGGCAGAGGGAAGAGCAGGATGACAGGGAGTGTCAAGGCTCACTGAGACAAGGGACAAGAAGGCGGTCAAGAGAGTGTGTACTGATGAGACTTTGTGTGTGTGTGTGTGTGTGTGTGTGTGTGTGTGTGTGTGTGTGTGTGTGTGTGTGTGTGTGTGTGTGTGTGTGCTAATGAGAAGAAACAAAAAGAGATAATCAGATGAAAGACACATATATATAAATATATGAGCCTGTCTATGCCCTTGTGTGTCTGGTGAAACAGGTAATGGGTAAAAGTGGGACATGAGTCTGGGTATTTATGCACATGTGCTTTTTCGTGCTCTGTAATCTGCAGTCAGGGTCCCGTGGGAAAATTCAGTGTGTGTGTGTGTGTGTGTGTCTGTGTCTGTGTGTCTGTGTGTCTTCTGGAGGAGCCCCGCCCCAGCCCTGGCTGAAATGTGACTGTGCTCCAGCCAGGTCCTCAGCAGCTCAGCCAGGCTCAGAGCCGCCACGGCTGCTGCTGCTGTGAAGCACTGGTTTCCTGTACACATTCCCCACCTCACCGCCTGTGTTATTGTTGGCCCAGACAGAGGGGTACACAGTTAAGAACCAGGGGCCTCCTGAGGCCCTTCACGGTCCCTACGACTCATGGCCTTCAGAGCCCCAATGAGACTGGATGTGAGTGGTGGATCCTCTGCAGGGAGGGTTGCTGTGTGCAGCAGCAATGTTGTCCAACAACTGAATGAGCCGCTATGGACTGCTAAAACAGACATTAAAGACTGGATAAATCATGACAGAACTTATCCTCTATGGCGCCACCAGCAGGTAGACATGTGTTGTTCTGAGTGAAATGTCTCATGGGACGGGTTTCCACGACATTTGGAGCACACGTTCACTTTTTATGCAAATCGTTTTCATATGCTGAGGCCCCCTTGTGGCTGCAATATGGCGCAGGGTATTGGCCAGATCAGGAGCTGGTTTATGCAAGGATACACCTCCGCCAATTTAATTTCATACCTTAATCTACACCATACTGCAGGTCACACTAAGAACAAAGTGCATTCACTCAGTAGAAAGTAAGAGAAAGCTTTTATCAGATAGGAGAGGATGGTTTAAGGGAGCAGAGCTGAACAAGGTAACAGAACACAGCTGTGTAGGTCATTCAGACTCCACAGGGAACAAGAAAGGGCAGCGGAGAATCCAAGTTTCTGAAAATGTCCATAAAATCTTTATAATGCAGACCAGGCTACTTTTACACATGACTTTAAGTTGAACAAATTCAAAGTGCTGTTCTGTATGTTCAGCAATGATTAATATTTAGTACCTTATCCATTGTACTGCATCTCTGCATCAGTTGTTGTGATTGGCTTTAAAAGAGGAAATGAACTCACTAGCCGTCATACTCGTTTGGAAACCAATGTTCCACTCATTATACCAATCATGCAGCAGTTATCCAACGCACACACACACACACGCACACATATACACACACAAATACACACCACAAGTCCCACTGAGGCATGTCTGGGCACATACACAAAACAACACCAGCTTCCATGTGAAAACCACTCTATAAAAACACATGCTCTCACTTCAATCCAAACACTGATTTTAATTTTTTGCATTTTACAAAATATTGTAGAATATTCGTTATATTTAACGTTTTTCTCTCCATAGTATGGAGAGTGTGTTTTTTTACTTTCTCCCAGCCTGATCGACAGATTACTAACTTATTATTCTAGACAGTCCACATTCCTCCAGCAGTTTTAATATCATAATCATGTCTCGCAGATAAAACTACATGAAGGTAAAAAGGGGTGGGGCATGTGCAAAAGTTTTTTCGTGTACATACACTTCTATGCAACAGTGAGGGCATGACAAGCATTAGCTGTGGCATGTGAAAAACACAACAGCTAGTCAACACTTGTGCAGTGATAACAGAACACACCCAGCTCAGTGACACACATCCCTGCCATTATTTTAGAGATGGTATCATCATGGTGACACACTGTCAAAATGGCTTATCAGGGTGTCACACAGAAAAGTATTCATAGTTCTGAAAACAGGTTTTTAACCGTAGTTTTAGATTCTCTGCATTGTGAGTATTCAGTATCTAATCATTCGCCCCGAAGTGCAACTCCCAACAACATATTAGACAACACAACAAATTAAGAAGATATAACAGCAAATCCCAACACGCAGCCACATATAACAAAACACAAAAACAAAACACAACAAATCACAACAACAAATATAATCCCTCCACCAAAAAGATCGGATAGATTTTGTCAAATCTTGAACTTAAATATAATAATTTAGTTATATTTACATCTACACCTGCAGTAACCCTACCTGCTGGTTAATGGTTTGAAATAAACGTCACACTAGTGAGTCAGAAATGTCTGTCTGTGCAGCGGTTTCCTTGTGTTTCTGTGAGAAGAAAAAGAAAGTACATTTTTATATTTTTAAGGTGCATGTTATAAATTAGGTGTGGTTTTCTGATAATCTAATGTTCATTACATATTGTATTACATGTTAATACCACCCTCTGCCTCGAAACGTGACATAGCGATTCATATAATCAAAGTTTTTGAAAATAAAAAGAGTGAGTTTGTTTATTCTATTTAAAACAAGGGAGTAGAATACAGTATGACTGGCATGGATGGCAGCGTCATGTGAGCATGGCTTTAAATCTTATCCTATATAGTGTGACAGGATTGCACACACATGAAATTGAAATGGCACGAATAGAAAAAGATTATTGCACAGGTAAATTATAACTGAGTAAGATAATATAAAGTCCAGTATTTCTTGTTTTACAGTGTTACAGCAGCAGGAAGTAAATGACAAGCATGCTGTCACATTCATATGATCCTCATAGTAGGTGTTGATGATGGGGATGATGATGATATAGGTGATGATGATATAGGTGATGATGATATAGGTGATGATGATATAGGTGATGATGATGATGATGGTGGTGTTGGTGGTCTCCCTCTCTCTCTCTCTCTCTCTCTCTCTCTCCCCCCTCCCTCTCTGTCTCCACCCCTCAGCAGCAGCAGGAGCTGGTTGCGTCAAACACGCTCCTCCTCCTCCTCCTCCTCCTCCTCCTCCTCCTCTCCTGTGGCTCCGCTGAGCGCTGGACATCCTGGTCACCACCATCACCTTCATCACCTTCATCACCATCAGAGGAGCGCAGACAGGTAACCGCAATGTCGCACTTGTTTTCTTCTGTGGAGGCTTCTCTGTGCTCTCTGACTCAGTCAATAGATCCGTGCAGGGTCACGGTGTTGTTGAGGCTGCTCATCAGGATGTGAGGGAGGAATTCCTCATTGCGACTTCTGCGCATCAACTATATGTCGTTTAACGTTTAGCCTCGTTTGTTTGTTGCAGTGTGTGTGTGTGTGTGTGTGTGTGTGT